GCCTAATTTATAAATGAGCTCATATGGGAGATCATTCTTCGGTACCCACCCTTGCTACTGCCAATACTACTCAAATAATATTAACATGCGCTGAACCCTATCCAATTATTTACATGAAACTGTCTGTTTTTCGTTATATATTTTTATGATTTTGGATAGACTAACCAGTAGGTATCCAGTATTTATTTCCTTATTGCCGACGTCATATGTACGGTCATTGATAAAAGTAATGACCGCCTAATAGCTAAACTCTGCAGCATACGCAACCAACAATGCCTATCACATCGGGCTCCGTCGATTTCTTCAGGATTTACCTATTCGGCGATCATTACTTTTGCCAAAGACCAGCTCGTTTTGATTTTTCTTTAGTTCTTCTGCGAGTTGCAAGTCCGGTATCGTTTTGGGAAGTGTCCGGTGTCTTTGGTGGAGATATTGTCGGTATCTGTTGAGAAATTCCCTCAGAAGGAGCACTAAATAGCGTATAGTTTAAATGTGTACCTGACGGGATTTAAACGATTGTCCCTAAAAGGAGCCCCCGCCGTTCTTTAAAAAAAATGAAACATCAATAACTTTTGCATGCACAACCAATTTGTGCAAAATTGTGTCTACGTTTGTCTCCAGTAGAGCCCATTAGTACGCTATTTGGTTTAAAAGATTAACTTTATCTGCATAAGATTTGTATGCATGGTCGTTGGTGTTATCCCCTATTATTTCCACTTTCAATACGGCCTGGCTCGAGTCGAACTATCTCAGAAGAGATTATTATGGACACTAGCCCACCCAGAAACTGAATTGTAATGATTTTTCTCGTAGGCGTCCGGTTCCTGACAATGAAAAACCTTAATGTTGACTTTAAATTAATAATTTGGGAATCTCTATAGCGTCGATCAAGTTCCGAAACACCTGACATAATTCTTAGACATAAAAAAGGAAAGTCTGACATGAAAAACCCTATCCGGGTCGCACAACCGGTTCGAATAAACACGCATTCGAATAAATTCACAATGATTTATTACGAGACGTATGCAACAAAGTTAAAACAAATTCCCTGAAGTTTACAAAGATTGGTTGGAAATATGGGTTGCCACGCACCATGTGGTCTTGGTGTGGCCTATACCTGAAGAATGGCTTCGTATTTTAGCAAATATTTCCAAAATACCGATAGACATCGAGGCTCCATGAAGGATTAGTAATCGGCGACAATGAACGAAGGCGAATGTGGCGTAATCTTTCCTGGAAATTGGCGTATTTTGTTCTAGAATGTCCGCGACCACTCGTGAACACTCTGCTTTACTACATAAGCGATACACGGAGTTCTAAATTCAACACCGAAGCAACAAATAGTTCACGCTGTTATAAAATGTGTAGATTTGTGAGTGATAAATAATATTTTAGGTGTTAAAAATCAATTGTAGATTCCACTTATGGCACAGATATAGAGGAAGGTATCCTAAACAACATACTAAAAGTACTGCGGAGTGGGTGTGAGCTAAGGAAGGAGGGAGAGGTTAAAGGTCCCTTTTAAGCGCATTTCCACAAAAATAAAAAAAATGCGCTATTGTGGCCACTTTGTCCATCCGTCCGTCCGCTCGTTCGTTGAGACGCTACTAGTTCTTTATCTTAAGAGCTATTCTACTTTTTTCGCTATTTGGTTCGTTATGGTGTCGAGGCTTGTACCAAGGGAGGAATTTTTTCTGCGTTTATTGCTAAAAACGTTATTGTAAAAAAAACCAAAAAACCGTTTTTTACAGGTTCCATAATTTTACACTTTTGCTGTTTATTAACGATCCTAGAGATCGTTTATAATTTTTTATTGCTGTCTGTCGTCTGCTTGTGGGTCTGTCCGTCTGTTCCTTTGTCTGTCTGTCCCTCGATTTGTCCGTGTAAAAGATAATTTTGTTTAGAAATGTTCGACAGCTTTTAGATCTCCGTTAGTTAGTTATGAACTGAATTGCATGAAATTCAATATGGGCATAGCTTTAGCCATATAATACGCAATGCCAAAAGTTGAGTTGAATCGATTCAAAATTCACAGTGCCCTTTTCGCATCTCGACCATTTATTAACCGAATTGCAAACTATTTTATTTATGGAAGTATTTGAATGAAATTTGATACATAGGTGCTTGGAATAAAGGAAAATCTAACACCAGTTTCAAAATTTTATTTTGCGCATGCGCAGTGCCAACTTTTTTATCTATGGAAACATTTAAACGAAATTTCATACATAGGCGCTTGGAACAAAGGAAAATCTAACGTTAGTTTCAAAATTTAGATTTCCGCATGCGCAGTTCCAACTTTCTTATTTAGAAAAGCATTGAAATGAAATTCTTCTTATAAATAGAAATTGAAATAGCACGTTAAAAATGGATTGCACATGTGCAACGCTATCTTTCATATTTGTGGCCGGATTTTTGCGATCTTAGCAGAAGTTGCCTCTTAAAAATGGGAAATGAGTACAAGTGGAAATGCGCTTTTTGTAAATCGTTTACGATTACTTTTTAACTTGTTTAGTTTTCCGTGAATAACTTGAAAACTGTTGCTCCTAATTAGAAATCCTTTCCCAAAGGTGGGCTTGTTTATTTCCTAATGATCCTTTTGTGTTAGTTTTGTACTGTATGGTACTCCTAGGTTGTGTCTTTGTCGGCATTATGTCCGATGTCTCTTTTATACAATCCTCCTCAATAATTACCTTGTTTCGGTGCAGTGCTATTGCGCTTCCCATCGCCTGCTTATTCAGAATTAAGAGCAGAGGCCAAGGCCTCGCAGTGCCTCCATAGTGGCTGTAGGACAGGTGCTCATTGCTCCTGGCATACTTAAACATGCCTCCTCCTCAACATGGACTTTCTGCAGTCTATTGTTGTGGAGGTGAGGCGTTTCCAGCGTCCGCTTCGATGGCTTCGTGGGGGGTGTTGTCGAAAGCACCCTCTATATCCGAAAACGCGGTTGAAGAAACCACTTTTGCCAGCCAGCCAGACAAAGTGAGATTAAATTTAAATAATTACATTAAATTTACAAAAATGCGCTAAGAAGGTAGCTTTTAATCTCACTTTGGCTAGTTGGCTGGCTAGTGACCGTGTAATTATCAACTTTAGGGATGGGGGCTACAAGATGTGGGGTCGGCGACATCTGAGTGCCATCCCCGAGCGTGTTATATTAACCTGGAGATTTTTCAGTTTTTTTCTTTTCTTTTTCTACAATTTTTCTCCAACTGTCATCGGAAAAATCTTGTCAGCGCGCACAACTCCTGCGTGGCGGATTTTTTTTGGGGTCGAAATGAACCACCTTTTGCACGGCGCGCTTCGAGGGATATAGTCGACTTTGGGCGCCCAAAAGTTTCTTAGATCTCGAATTGCGGTCTCTCTTTCTCGTGTCGCCAATAGAAGCTCGATCTATGAGAACTACCCAACAATTGAGTACTATTTTGTGCCGGGTTTTTAGCGAAATCCATCAAAATGCGAATTGCGAGTGAACGGGACGTCGGAAGTGGGTTCCTACAAAGAGAATATGGTAGCCCCCGACAAGATCGTACTGATGGTGGAGTTCAAACGCGAATTGCGAGTGCACGGGAAGTGGAAAGCGGGTACCGGCTAATAAAACACTGATCTGCCAAACAAAAATGCGCTGAAGTCCCTTCGATCTTGCACGAGGACTTTGATAATTTTTTTTATTACAATGTTTACCACAACACTACATGACGGAAAATTGCAGAATGCAGAACTCTCTTCTAAAAAATTTCTCAAAGTCCAAAATAAAAACTCGCCATAGCTTGTTTAGTAACTCTAGTATAACCCCGATACCTCCAAAGCGAGTTTGTTTGCGTTTCTTTCATTGTAATTTAAAAGACAACAAAGTAATATTATTCGATCCACAAGTCGTTCCAGCGGTTTCAGTTAAAAACTTAAATTATTGCTCTAATAATTTGCAAATTAAGGTAGCCCCGTATTTATTTATTCGTGCCCTTCATTATAGGTTGACACCTAATCCATTTGAGCGCTATCGGTGTACAAATGATACCTAGGAACGTTAAATTAGACCTTTACCGGCATAATTTTAGTAAAGTATATGTAAAAGAGTGATATTCTGCTGATCAAAGTCGCAGTGACCAAGGATTGATCTTAAAATCTGATGGTTAATTCTGAAAGATATAAATCCCTATTATTGCTCGTAATATTTGTATTTGTAGTGGATTTCGTCAGATTTCATCATAGGTGCTCGAACACTGTGAAACAAAACAACAACAAATTACTTAAAAGGTGATATGGGTAGATTAATAAGATTCGAATTCGCAATCAAAAGTAGGTATTTAAAATGGAGATATCTCTATTCTTGGAGATAAGAGAGATAGTGGCCAAGTTTAACAATATGTACTCGTATGATATTAACCATATAATAATCTATGTGCAATCTTAATATTTTAAAAAGTTTGAAATTTACGGCGCGTGGCGTTCACTCTGCAGTTTTTGTGCAAGTAGCATACCAAAAACAGAGCGGCAGTTTTTTGGTAAAGATCTGATTATGATTGTCCACCGCATAAACAGGCAAACAAAACGCCTACGTGAATGCACTTCTACATTTTCGAAAATCCGCTAAATGTCCTTGAAATACTAAGTGTCAATTCGAGACAACGGTAAAATTTCCTCAAACTTACTGTAATGAACCTGGTAATAAAAAGATGAAGTCTTTCTCGTATCCCAAGTGCTGCATGAACACTTGGATCTATTTTTTGGTCAAATTCTGATTATAATTCAGCATCGTCAAGCGTTCTGGAAGTTTGTCTAATATGATTTTGACTGGTGACATAATAAAGAAACCATAGAGAATTTTTAATCTTCCCCTCGGCTGTCCAAATGGACGTGTTGTAGCAATTTTTGATAAACATTTCAAATTAAAACCGGAGGTTGGCTTTGAATATTTTTCTACGTACGAACTGAAATAACAATCAGTATTAACCTTTGTAATAATGATAAAATACCCAAACAGACAATGAAACCAATTTTGTACCTATCTATAAATAATCTGCTAAACTTCTTGACACGTGGGTATAAAAGCGCGTGCAGGCTGCCCCATAGATGAGTATTCCCACCATGTACTTTAAACTGCTGGTATTGGTTTCTGTTGGTCTCCTGTGCATCAGTGTTGTCTCAGGTATGTAACGATACGTTTATGATTTTCAGCATTTGTGTTTGCTGTTTTTGAAGCACTTCGAATACCTGTACATATTATTTTAAATTAGATTTCCCGTAGGTCACACAAATAGATATTGCAATTTTTGCTATGGTGAGTCCAACGGGTCCTCTCCAGACTTTTCGAACTGTCGTAACTTTGTTAATGTTACCAAAGTTTACGACTGTACATCAAATCATTATTGCGTCTCTTTTCATGAAAGTAAGTAATATTCTGTTATCTAGTACACGAATGTCATCTACCTCCTTTTAGCTGTAAAAACAGACAAAGCTACTTATACCGTTGCGAAGAGAACATGTAGCAACGATTGTGCTTGGTACAAGAAAAAAGGCAGAGCAGACCTACATTGTTCGCAGTGCGAAACCGATTATTGCAATAAGGAGAAATTTTGATCAATAAGACGAAACTTCTATAAGGATTATGAACATATTTCTGGATACTACTATTACTATGTTATTGTGTTTTTTTCTTTGACATTATCCTCTAAACTAAAAAATGTAGGTAATAATTATGTTGTAATATACGGATTTACAGAGGCAACTATTGGAAGCCTTATTTTTTCATCATTCCTGACTTCTCAAAGGTTTATAGATACGTGCTGTATCTGATGATCCTGGAATACAGGAAAAATTGATGTTAGTAAAGTGTTTTTGGAAGCAAGCAAAATATCATATCAGTTGTGCTGGAGATTTTCCGAAAAGACGGCGTAGACATTAACAGTGAGTCATAATGTCTGATTTAATAAAAGTGAACCCCCTTCAATTCGGTTCAGGGTCCTCTTTTGGTTTGCCCTCATAAAGGAGTGCGTAATGTTTTCTCCTACATTAATCATTTAAACAGTTTGCTACGCATTTAATCTCCAGAGAAGACAGGTGTGTCTCTCTTCATTAGCTACCTGTGAATAAACGCCATCTCAGGTTTTCCCACATCTTGTATTTGTGATTGCTAAAAAATAGGGGTTGATATAAAGTCACTTCTAAAGTCACTTTGTCGTGGTTGGGACATACTTTGGCGTGGTACAAACCTCCTCTGTTGTAGGCAACTCTGCAAATACCCCAGCAGCACGCTCCAACTATGGTAGTCTTTGTAGTATGTTTCAAGCTGTTGATCCAATTCATCAAGCAGTATCCAATACTTTTCCTGGATCCCGAGCTGCTCCTTCATGTTTTTTTTCTTGCCTTTTCAGTCTCGGCCTTCCTTTATTTCAAATTCGGAGGGTGCCCTGTTGGCTTCTATTTCTGAAGCTAACCTCTTCTTCTCAAGGTCAGGTAATCTCTGTTTGGCATCCAAGCTAGTCTTACTTTTCTTACCACACGCACTGTATTGCTAACACTATTGCCAAAGTAAGTGTCATCTGTTGAAGTCAACTATCTTCCTGGTCGTGGGCCCTCTTCAACTACCGTTGAAGTATAATATATCCTGAAACTAAACACAAAGAAACCAGAAGCCTTCACGCTTCAAACCGTTGGAAAGTTTCTTTACTGGAACTATTCTTTCCATTTGAATACCGTCAAAATTAAATATACTTTCTTTCCATGAAATTTTTGAATTAGTGCTTTCTACATCCAAGCAGCAGACTTCTGTATAATAGTTATTAACGTCATAAGGCCGATATGTAGCAAATAATGGGCGTGGTTGAAGTTTGTAAACCGAGGCGTTAGCCGAGGTTTATATTCAACCAAGTCCGTTATTTGCGTATCGGCCGTGTGTCGTTCAAAATTTTTCGGCATCCCATCATCTGGAAATTATATATTTTGGCTTCATAAAGATCCATCTTTTCGCAACTACTTAAAAATAAAAATAGAAACGCATGCTGAGAAGCTGTACGACGTTTTTCCAAAAATATGGACGAAATTGAAGGAAATATCAATGTTCCTCCAGATGTATTAGCAAATTCCATGGCTGCAAGTGTCGATTTGCTACCAGAAAAAAACCAGGGAGCGATAGATATCATAAGGAATACGAAGATTTCAAGGAATGGCTTAAGATTAAGAGGATCAATTTAGTAAATGATATTAGCGTGTACGTAAAGAGAAAATCGGAAATGTATTCGCCCAATTCATTATGGACAAAAGTTTCAATGTTGAAACTCACTTTGAAGGTATAGTCTAGTCAAATTAGCTTTAAAAGTAGTATAAACTGGATGTTGTAATTTCCTTCAACGAAACCAAGCGTATCCTATGTAAAAAAATCCGCTGAATCTGAAAATGACGGGAAACGCCCGGAACATATTGTTATTAACATAAAACGAAGAAAAAACGAGAAAATGTCGTGTTTTTTCGCATTTGACTTCGAATATCTCGTTAACTATTAATCTGAGGGAAAGAATGACTACATAGAAATTAACCTGTTTAGAATAAAATTTTCTATAAGATACAGATTCGGAAAATTATTCGTGTTCTTGAAAAGAAAGTCAGAAGGTTACAGACCAAAAAAGTCTAACATTTTGTCTGAAGAGCAAGTCATGGCATTTTTATTGGAAGCTGATGATGGTGTATGGCTCCTAGAAAACGTCATCTTAATATGTGGAATATTTGGCGCTTGTAGGCGTGATGAGCTTTTTGAAGTTGAACGTGGAGAACTTTGAAGCCACCAATAAAAACGTAATAGTTACATTGCGGATCACAAAAAATTAGAAAATCAGATTAGTTCCAATTCCGAAAGAAAGACTTCCCCTCAATGCATATCAGTTATACAAAAAATACGCGGATTTACGTCCTCAAAATTTAGAAACTCGGCGATTTTTCATTGGCTACCGCAAAGAAAAGTGTGTTAGGCAGGTTGTGGGCATTCATTCCATGGGGGTGTGCCAAGGAAAATCGCTTCGTTCTTAAAATTAAAAAACACGGGCCATTCGTTTCGGAGGTCAGCTACCATGGTTGCACAAAATGGCGGCGATCTCTTAGCAGTGAAGGAACTTGGATGCTGGGATTCATCTGCGGTAGCGGAGTCGTATATTGAAAATTCTGTTTCGAAGCGATTAAAAATCACCAAACAGCTATTTCAAAGTTCCGATGGAAACGCTGAAATTACAACATCCATAGCCACAGTTTCTTCATCAAGTGTAATATCCACGGGTGCTAGTGGTCCTCAAGTTTTCTACGATGGACTACAGATCTCTAGCAATAATAACTGTCACTTTAATTTTTATATCCATTGTAATAAGTAGCAAAGTAGCATATGCGTCCGTTATTTTTTAACGGACGCCGTCCGTTACGAATGACATTTCATTTGTCGAATGAGTTGAGTTAAATTGAAATAACAGTTTGGGATGACGTTTATACCAGGGTTTATACGTTATAAATAATTTCATTTCACATAAAAAGCTGCAAAAGATTCAGAAGTAATAGTTCATTCATTTTGTGATAAATAACACCGAAGTCACGGATCCTATTAAAACTCGACGAGCATTCGCTTTTAAGGGCATTTTTTGCATCCTTCAATCGAGAACTGTGATACAAAACAACAACGAGGGGGAAATCGCAGTGGATATCCAGTGTAGGTACACAGTGGTAGATGTCCGCAGGATATCCGAGGATGTCCGTGGATATCCAAGGATATTCGTGGATATCCAAAGTTATCCGTGGATATCCAAAGATGCCCGTGGATGTCCGAGGAGATCCGGTGGATATCCGCAGATATTCGAAGATATCTCCAGACTTTGGAGGATATCCTCGTCAATATTCAAGTATAAGTGTATTCTTTACACTAAGGTGATATGTATGAACTTATGTACAAGTTAATGATATGCGTGCATGAAAGGAGAATGACTCTTTTGCTTTTGTTAGTGTTGTGATTCGAACTGTTTTTGTTGCGTAGAGGAGAAAACAGATGTATAATTACAATACAACAATTTTTAACTTACTAGCTTTAGCTAGGTAGCTATTACGATAACACTTTTCAAAATTTCATCAAATGTCGACGTTTTATATCATTTTATGCAACTTTAAAGAATAACATTTTTGTCCGTAATATTTAGTGTGCTAATAGCATGTTTGGTACACTTACATTTGTTAATAAAACATTTTTAAAAAAAAGTTAAGTATAAATGGTAAATTACAAACAAGATTCACAAACTACGAAAAATCACGAACTTGCATAAACTCACAACTGCATGCATAAAACTCATCAAAAAGGTACGTACGTGCAATTTTCCGAGATAATTTTCGTCAAATTTTGGATACCTATGTATATTAGGCATAAGGAAACGAAAAATAACGGATTTTTGAAACAACATTTTGGAGGGCCGCAACGTCATCGAACTTTTTTTTTCAATTGAGCGTATACAGAAAGCTCTTAAGAATAAGGTAATCCTGGTTTGTTAACGGCGACGCGGAATTCCGACGACCAATTAACTTATCCTTACATTTTCGAACTGACCGCGACCAAAGCAATGACGCTTTATTTAATATGGATGTTTGTTGATCAAAATCAAGAGACTTTGGAATGAAAGGGCTTTACTACCTAAATTACAGAAAATATCGAAAGCGATCCGTACCTACCTAAAAATTCAGTTACATGAAGACGCACGTGTCATTGTTGAAAAGTCATCAGGTTTTTGGCTGTTGGATGCTTCCAATGGAAGGGCCAGCACCAATCGACTACCACCGTTTATAGTAAAGCCGTGTTTGAAGTTTTGAAGCCAGCATCAGTAAGATCTTGTCGGGGGCTACCACATTCCCTTTGTCGGTACCCACATCCGACGTCCCGTTCATTTCGCTAAAAACTCGCCACAAAATAGGGAGACCGCGATTAGAGCTCTAAGAAACTTTTGGGCGCACTAAGTCGACTACCCCTCGAAGACGCGCGCCTTGCAAAAGGTAGTTAATTTCGCCCCTAGGAAAAAACACAAAACGCAGAAGTTGTACGTGTTTTTACGATCTATCCGACGACACCAATTTGAAAGCAATCGGATCAAATCTATGAAAGAAGATAGAAAAAACTCAACAATCTTCTGGTTAGTATAGCAGGGTAGGGGATGGTACCCAGATGTCGGCGACCCTCCACATGTAGCCCCGTCCCTAAAGTTGTTAATTACACGGCCCCGGTAGGTGCATGTGTACACTCCTCGTCTTTCTACAAGCGTTTTTCTATGGGTCCGCATTTGCAGCCAGCCAGCCAGGCAGCAGCTATCTTTTTACAAATAAATATGCAAAAATGCGCTTAAAAACTTTGATGGACTTTCTTGTAGAGCTTGTATTTTAGTACGATTGCAACAGATTTCGAATGGTAAGATTTCTAGGGAATATTTCTGAACTTCGCTCTATCATCAATGGCTATTCCCGACTTTCCAATGCACCTAGGTGTGTAATTAAAGGTCCTAGAGCAAATTCGAAGACGTCGGCGGATTTCTAAAAACATATCATCGTATATCCATGGAGATCCAAGGATGTCCATGGAAATCCAAAGACGTCCATGGAGATTCGAGGATGTCCATGGAGATCCGAGGATGTCCATTGAGATCCGCTGATATCCGTGGATATCCAGAGGATTTCCGAGGATATCCACACCAAATGGATGTATGGTGTAGAACATTCCATCTGCGATTTCCCCCTCGCTCGAACAACAATAAACCACTTGAGACATGATATGGGCAGATTAATAGGTTCGAATTCGCAATTGAAGTACTTAAAATGGAGATAGCTTTTTTCGTGAAGGTTGTAAACTAGTTTACCAATTTACTTGTATATGTTATTAATCTATGTAAATTCTTTATATTTTGCTGGCAAAGCCGTTTATTTAAAATGAATCGTTTTGTTCTAAGATATCGACACAATTTTCATCTAGACAACGTCTAATAAGACATCTGAATTTTCTGAAACTTTCAATTTTTAAATCTCGTTTAGACGGACGGTGTTAGTACTATACTCAAGGTCGCTGCTGTGTCCAATTTGCCAGTTTTGCTAAGGAAACGAGAGAACGCACATGTCAGTTGATGAAGAACTATAATAACGATCTAACATAATATAATGGTCTTGGAAATTATTTTGAATGGGCGGAAATAGCGGCAAAATTGCAAAACCTACCGCGTGTAGTAATCATTTGTTCTTTCTGCACTTTTTTGTGCAAGTAGAACAGAAGAAACAGAGAGAACCGTTCATCCATTGAATGTATTCAATGGTTCATCGATAGTTTTTTAGTAAAGATATGATTTATGACATTTTCCGCCGCATGGACAAACAAACAAAACGTCAAAGCAAGTCGATTTTGAACATTTTTTACGTACAACCTTAATACGAGTAGTAATGAGTATGAACCGTTGTAATAATGATAAGAGAAGCAGATAATCATTAAATTTTAAGATGTATCTAATCTATTAAACGTCTTGACACGTACTGACGTACGTATAAATACGTTTGCTGCCCCATACACATTGACAGACAAGTATTCTCATTATGTACTTTAAACTGGTAATAGGTCTCATGTGTGTAGGTGTTATCTCAGGTATGTAACATGTTTATGCATTTTCGAACTTATGCATGCTATGGAAATACGCTTTTCGAAACACATCGAATACCAGGATAATATATTATATTATTTTTTTACATAGTGATAAAATTACCGGACTTTTTTTAACGAAAAATCGTATGGAAAGTGGTACTTTTTTTCACGATTTTTACTATGCGTTTCCATGGAGTTTAGTCTTGTCTATGAACAATAGCATCCACTTTTGAATGACAGAAAATCGCGAATGTCAATAAAATTATTCAATTGTGGGTTCTTAAGTGTTGAAAGTGTCTTTTTTTCATGAATTTGCTTGATTAACTCGGGCTTCGCCCTCATTAGTCAAACTGCAAATTCATGAAAAAAAGTATCATTTTCAAAACTTATTGTACAAATAACTATTACATTCTAATCGTAGGTGTGGAACATAGGTATTGCCATCTGTGCTATGGTAAGTCCACAGAGCCTAAAGACTTTTGGAACTGTCGTAACTTTGTTAATGTTACCAAAGTTTACGACTGTACAACAAAAAGTTACTGCGTATCTTTTCATGAAAGTAAGTATTATTATGTTACCTAATACACGAATATATTTTACCTTCTTTTAGCTGTGAAAACAAAGGACGGTACCTACACTTGGGCGAAGAGAACATGTAGCAGTGATTGCGCTTGGTACAAGAGATATAATAGAGCAGACCTATACTGTTCGCAGTGCGAAAGCGACTATTGCAATAAGGAGAAATTTTGATCATACTACTATTACTCTGATATTTTTCTTTAATATTTTTGTTCCCTTTTCTTTGACATTATCCTCAACTACAAAATCTATCTAATTATGTTGTAATCAGAGCTTTATTATAAATTATTTTATTAGGAACGAATTGGGCTATCAGAAAACTCTACTATATGTAATAGCATATGTATAATAAAGGTAAAATTAACGACGTTTTCAAAATATTGTTTTGCGCATGCGCAATGCCAACTTTCTTATTTATGAAAGCAGTTAAATGAAATATAGACCGGGAGATGGTGACACTTTTTGTGGTGTGATTTGCTACAAGTATGGCGACCATTCAAAGGTTTAATTAAGTACTCCTCGAAACGCAAATGGTGCTAGACTCTCTGGGAGTGGGGCCGTTATTGCGTGACGATTGTTTAAACATGTCGGAAAATTGAATGATTTTGGACAATTTGCTACACAAAATTCTTTGGATTTTCTTGGAGTCGGTGACAAAACAAATGACGGAAACGAAATGCCATACTTTTTCGGTGGGCCTTATAGCCCGCCATACTCATTTGAAAGTGTCGATTGTTTGTATTTTTTTGGGTGATTTGCTACAAGCTCATTTTTTTATGAGCATCAAGTCCTCAATCAGTCATTCACGAAAATCAATCTGCCATACCGCAGCGACGGGCCCGCATAGCCGCCATACCGGCACAAAGATGTCATTTTTGTTAATAATTTTGGGCCGTTGAATGGTCGCCATACTTGTAGCAAATCACACCACAAAAAGTGTCATCATCTCTCGGTCTAATATCATATGTAGGCACCATGAATGAAACTAAAACTAATACCGGTTTCAAAATTACTGTTAACGCCTGCTGTATGTTTTATTTAATGAAATTTCTAATGTAGACAATGCGCAATGCTACTTACAAAAGCATTAAAAAAAGTTTCGTATGTAGACACTTGAAACGATTTCTCAAAAAGTTAAAGAGATTTTAATTTTCTATGAAGAAAATCATTACAAAAGTGCACGGAAACTATTTTTACGCAAATGTCGCACATTGCCAACATTAAATAAGAAAATGCCAAAAAAAAATCAAAAAAGTTACAGGTAAACCTTCCATTAAACTTCCCCTTATCCAAGTGGGCGTGTTTTAGCAATTCGTATAATCGATCGATGCAATGCCCACAGGTAGGTTTTAAACATTTTTTTACGTATAAACATAAATCATACCTTTGTAATAATGATAAGTAAGCAGATAACCATTAACTATTTGAACATTGATTGTATCTAATCTGTTAAACTTCTTGACACGTAAGTATAAATACGTGTGCAGGCCTGGCTGCTCTATAGATGAGTATAGTCACCATGTACTTGAAACTGGTATTGGTTTCTGTCGGTTTGATGTGTATAAGTGTTGCCTCAGGTATGTAACGTATGTACGTTCGTGTTTGTGAAGGTACCTACTTGTTGTTTTTGAAACACGTAGAGTACCCGTATATATTATTTGGGATTAGATTTCCTTAAACGTATCGAATCGTAGGCGGTGCTACTAGAAAGTGCAATTTTTGCTTCGGTAGGTCCGACGACTCCCCTGGTGACCTTTCGAACTGTCGTAACTTTGTTAATGTTACCGGTACTATACAGTGTTCACGTAATTTTTGCGTAACTATGTTTGGGAGTAAGTACCTAGTATGTTATATAATACACGATCCTCATATACCCCCTTTTAGCTGCGACTGTAAACGAGAAAACGATTCAAGTTGCGAGGAGATCATGTGGCAACGATTGTGATTGGCTCAAGAAAAATGCTATAGCAGACCTATACTGTTCGGATTGCACAAACGACTACTGCAATGATGACAAATTTTGATCAATAAGAGCAAGCCTCCATAAGGATTATAAACATTTTTCTGCATACTATACTATGTTATTATATTATTTTTATTTATTATATTTACTTTTTCGTGTTTATCCTATAAACTACTACGTATTTAAGGATTATGTTGACAATTGAGCTTCTTCAGGCATACGAATTTTGATTGTTTATTTTCATACATAAAACCATTGAATATCCAACTCCAGTTGGATATTCAATGATAAAACAGAACTGATACAATTACTTAAAGTAACTCGACGTGTCGATGAAGATGTACTTGCCTTTGATGTCACTACTTGCGAAATTTCATTTGTGAACATTTTTGTTATTCTGAAACACAAACTCGAGAAACCAATTCCTTGAAACAACTGATTCAACTGTTAATATTTTTCCTTTACGTTTATTTTTCGAGTTTACAAATAAAAAGGAATCAGTGGAATACGAGTAATGGGTTTTACTTCCTAAACAATGGCCGATGGCTAATTTCGATTCCTTCATATTTTATCGTTCACTTTAGGTAAACAACTAATCTGGTATACCTACCACCATTCACCGTTCCACGATTCTGAAAAGGTACAGTCCCCACAGTAAATCAGAAGATACAGATACTTCGCAGGACTTTATAAAATAACATCTTTGTTGGCTTCAGAGCGTTTTGAAATAATTCCCAATCGGCGGATTGTTGTTTACTTTTGGGTTTGCAAGAATAAATAATTTAGTAAATCGACAAATCTAACATGACCCAGTTTTTGATTGCCTGTTAAGTTTTATGGGATCTATGGACTCCAGTATTTACGTCTATGGAGCACATCCTCGAAATTCGTCGAAAGTAGGATTAACGTCCGAGGAGGTTGGAGAAGAAGACTCAATGACTAAATACTCAATTCCAGGTTACCCGCATGTTTGCAATTCCAGGTAGATCAGTTCCAGCTGACCGACAGGTAGGAATCTTCGATACGAATGTGATGGTGGGTTTCTACAATCATTATCATTAGTTCACTATCATTAGCTATATATAGCCAATAGAAACAAATCTATGGTTTCGTTGGTTAGCGACGCACAATAAACTTTTGTTTCTACTGGCTATTTCCGAATGATCTAATATGATGATGATTACATAAACCCACCATAAGTGTTAGCATCTAGAACACGGTACTTCTTTAATACATACACAAAAAAAAACATACATCCAAAAAACTACAATACCAATATTAAAATCCAATTAATTAAATCCCTATTAATAAATGGGTTTCGGATTGTGATATAGCCTTTATCATATAGGCACAACAAAGACGGGTAATTTCTGTCACTAAATGCTGTGTAAAGACTGGGAAGAAAATTAATTCTCCTATTTTATTTAGCAGAATTAATTGAGTTGGTGCCCGAAACATGGAGTTTGGATCTCAAAGCTCTTGATCATTGATCTCTGGGACTTGAATTTTGGTCCTTGGTCTGAAATATCGAATTTTAATCCTCGAACATGAAACTTCATTCAACTCTTGAATCTTGTTATCTTCTTGTATTTGTGAAATTTTCTTGGCGCTCCTTGAACGCTCTTGAAACTTTTGTTTCTCTTTGAATTCTGTTCAATTTTTTAATCTTGTTGAAGAAGAATATTAATTTCATTCCCTTCTTCCACGTGCGTGAACTGCGATGTAGATGGTGAGTATTCCTGTAGTCACTCCCACGTAGTCGACAGTTTATTTACGTAAATCAATTTTAGAAAGGAAAAATGTCAAACACACTAATTTAATTCGCTAAGAATAACAAACGCATTTACACAACTCGTTTGCTTTTTAATGAAACTTTGATAAAATACAATTTGTTCGTTTATCCAGAATGTATTATACATCGATGGACTTTTTATTAAGTGGTCTTTAAATTGGTTTTGTGGATTGTAAAAACAAATTACAATCAGTACCTATTTCATTTTGTTTTATGTTCAACGTTATTCATTTATGTACGAAACAGGAATTGGATTGAATATTACTAGAAACTTAATGAGGTTTTTTAGTTACATTTATAGTCACTCTGATAGGAAAAATCCTATGTTTCAATTCCAACCAACTAAAACGTTACTTATTATATTTATAATTTAACAACAAATGATTGGCTACAATTAGCGCTATTCCTTCGAAAGAAACTCACAAGACAAGAAAAATCATTGACTCCTTTTCTATCTCGACCAAACCATAGTCCGTCTCACCTTGACATTAGAGTACAAGGTCAACAACTGTCCCAGATGTCATCAGAATATGATTTGAAGAATCAGCGCCGCGCTAAAAAGTCCTTAGGGCATTGCTCTATGTTCGCTGTACTGTAAAATCAAGGTGATACGGAAAACAGTAATGGAAACCAAGGATCGAATGTGACGTTAAACTAAAAAGATGCTGAACATCATCCTAAACGGCAAACAAGGTCTATAAACGATCCGAAGGTGTGAAATATTATTCACTTAATCTTGATCATTTCGAAAATGAAGCGATAGCATCACGGCGTTTCCGACATAAACATTTTTAGAAAGGCGTTCTCGCTTAAAAACTCCCATTAAAACCGCAAGTTGGAAACGGTGATACCGTTGAATCAAATCTTCTAAGCAATTTCACACATATAATTGTAGATGTAATCTCTTTAATGGAACAATGTGAAATTGCGTGAGAAAGAATTATGTTTTATTAAAGAGGATGCTAATATCGGGGTCGCATAAACCTTTTACTCGTTGTTTAGCAAATGCGATGGGATTTACATGTTTATCAATGTGGTAATGTTTTATTATACTTATATTTACAGATATACAACTTATAAACTAGTGTGTTTTTTTACGCTGATTATAATTGTGAGAACAGGAAAACGATTGACAGTCTCATTCTTAAAATATCCACCGAAACGTCCTTTTCTCTAATATGTGTTGAAAGAATGCTACTTCATCAAAATAGGTACGACGTAAATCACTAAAGCGTAAATCCGCTAAATCGTATTCAATGGAGCAAATATTATAATAGTCAATACAGAAAGCCATTTTCATGTAGACATAAGTCAAGTAACGTAAAGGCGTATTACATTTCTTTTACAAGTAACCACCATGACAGCACAATGTTCTCTGAAGAAGAACAAGTGTAGCTTGTACGCAAACCTTATTAAAAAAAATAAAAGCAGAAAGGTACATGTTGTGACCTCTAACGACAAAAAAATGAACTAACGTACATGAAACATGTAACACTCAACTAACTACATCTGAACTAAACAAATTTACAGAGAGAGTATAGTCTGCGTAACGGGTACTAAATGGAATAAAAATTTTAAAAGTTGAAAAAAACGACACATAGTTTGTATAGACCAGTCAAACAAGACATGCAACATCCGAAAAAATGAAGAAAATCACATTTTTGTTGTGTTAAGATGTGAGAGTAGTCCAAAATCAAGTTTTCAACTTCCAAAGCTATCTGAGTGGTGATCGAAGAACCTCGATTTTTTCTGACTTTTTTAATTTTTCGTAAATATGTCGAAAATCATTCATTGCACAAAAAATAATTTACGAAGAAGGTAATTTGCTACAATCTGCGATCAAGCTCTGTATCTCCATCAGATCCGGAGTACTCACTTGTAGGAATTGTATTAATGCTTTTCATGTACGCATAATAAATGGGAAACTTGGCAAAATCTGAGTTTCCCAAACTTTAATGTCTGATGATTTACATGGTCTATTTTATTTCTAACGACAGAGAAGGAATGGTATAAAATACAACAAAACCGGTATTTAATATTTATGTATGTTTATACTTCGTAAAACCCAAATTATTGTAACATAAATTTAATTACGTTTATTTATTTACAATTAATTAACAATAAATGTACATTAGTAGTATAACAGCAATTATTATTTGTCACTCACAATTTATAACATAACAGGATCGAAAGCATAATACTTCGCATCGATGACTGAAGCACAATTTGATTTGCTTTTATAGCAAACGCCGGTGTTTCTCGAAAGTTCTCGAACGCTTCCGAATATTCTAGAATGTTTTTGAACAAACACGTCGTATTTCCCGCAAAGAATGCATTCTGTTACATCGTGTACGTAATAATATTTATTATGTAATCAGCAGAGCTATTTACACCTTTAATGCTTTTGAAGGGCTCGCAGCAGCTCCTGTAGATCTATTGAGTTCTTCCTCGCCGTCGATGTCCCATAAGGGGAACGTTAAGGCATGCCTTTCCCATACAAGAGCTGCACAAAGGCACACATGCGCGCCTACAGTCATACACGAAAGTGTATCATCCAAGGTCTTTTTTTCTTGAATTTATTTTATCCCTATTGGGCTGTCAGTCTAGGCGCGAGTGGGGGAGGGGGAGAAGATCAGGAAGTATCGTACTAAATAAAAGTACCTATAGGAAGAGGAAGACTTGTCGCCTGAACTGACGTGGCAGGCCGCAACAGGAGGGGGAGGGGGAGTATGCAGGCTTTCAAGTGCTGGTTTTGCAAACCATGAGGTGTTTGTCTTTTGAAAAATAAATGCGGAGATAAATTTTCTTATCCTACAACAAGCTAATTCACAACCCCTCAGAGGAAGCAAACGCTTCTGGGGCCTCCTTGAGTACTGGTACCGATAAAACTTTTCTTCTCACCTTTAATGAGTCATGGTTGAGTCCGATTTTTCGAAACTCTACTCATGTATTGACAAACGGTAATCGACCTATCACCAGAAGAGTCTGGAATCGGAAGTTGACGTACGCCTCAGGAGTTCAACGTATGGGAGAATGCAATAAAGCATTCCTGCTTTTCGTGTTGGTAAAACTCCTTTTATGAGTAACCGTCGAGTATACTTTCATTAATACTATACTCCATGAAGCATTTGAATGATACGGCATGCGTTTAACAGATTTATTGAAATCCCTATAACAATTTTCCTTTGTTTAATGGTGTAGTCGCTGACGTAGGAAAAGAGCTCTGTTCCAAGGCTACCAGCAATGAACTCTAAAACAAACAAAACAACAACGAAAAGAATCAAGGAACCCGAGATTGGGCAGGTATCAAGGCTAACTAAAGCTTGAACACTTGTGTAAACGTGAATGTAAAATTACAATATGAAAATAAAATGGCAACCAAAACCCTGTAAAGAAACCGCATGTCAAATCACTTCGATCACATTAACCAAACTCCAATTAATACGAGGATTGTTTAGAAAATAATAATACTATTACGGTTGACACCTAAATCGGTGACAAAATCCTAAAAACAACGAACAAGATATCATATTGCCGTACTTACATATGCATGAACATTAAATTCCAATTATAGCCTCCAAGATGAGAGAAAAAGGAGATACAAACCATTTCTATTAATCGCCAGAAGTAGTACTTAAAAGATTTTGCAATTAAACCAACTGAATTCTTCAAAAATGGATACGACGACTGTTAAACGTTACCAATTGTTAAGTC